TCTATCAGCTCCCATGGTTCCAAGGATCGCCAATTTCTTCTCAAACTGTCTCTTGGCAGATTGTGACTACAATTCATCTAGCCTACGATCTGGCTCACAACCCTTTACTGGGTCCTGTGAAGGTGCATTCAATGAGAGCCATTGCTACACTCACAGCCTTTCTCAGAGGAGTGAGCTTGCCAGATATCTGTAAAGCTGCCACATGGTCCAAACCTTCCACATTTGCCACCCACTGTAGACTTGATGTCTGCACCAGGGCAGATGCGGCATTTGGTAGAGCAGTCGTGGCATCCATCTTTCCGTGACAGCCCACCATCCAGTAAGTCAGCTTGCTTGTCATCCTATTGTGTGTATTCACAGAGAATGTGAAGAAGAAAGTGAGGTTACCTACCTACATCTGCCTACCTGTTCTTGCCTATCTGTTCTTCGAGTGGCCATCTGTGAATTCACACATCCTTCCCGTCCTCCCATCTGTTTGCCATATATGTCTTGTGTTTATTTGACAGTGACGGATTTCTCATCAGGAACTGAGGCACTCTCCAGTACAGGCGGAGCATGTGCACCGAGGGGGTGGTCCTGGTGAACATGCACTAAAGCTCTAGAAGATTCTGAGAGCCTCTGTTCAGGCACAGAAGAACCCTATTGTGTTGATTCACAGATGACCACTCAGAAAAACAGAGATATAGGTAGGTAACCTCTCTTTTCAAGTGGAACTGTAGAAAATGCTGTTGAAATATATATGTCATGCTTCATGTCTGTGCCTTACAGTTAAATAGGTTAATAACTATGAGACAGTTGAATGAAATGAGATAGATGTGAGAAATAGATTTCAGTTATTCTAGATTTATCAGTTTTTCTAGCTTGAAAGGAATATTTCTAAATAGTACGGAACTTGGTTTTTTAATTAAGCATTAAAAGATTGTGAATAAGAAATAATATTTGCACACAGTAGGTTTCAAGTATAGAAAACATTCCTCTATCTTTTATCAAAAATTATTATTGCTGTTCTACTGGGCATCATAAACCAAGAACTGGGACATCTATGGTGTTTTCCACCCACAGCATTACTTTCTAGCAGCCATTTCCACTGAAGCTCTTCCACAAACACACATATACCTGCGGCTCCTTTACAACGACATATAACACAGCAAAGGAATTGTGAGAAATGTGCGGCCCATGTATGTGTGTGATCTCACTCTCACATGATGTGGCATAATGGATCTCTCTGTAGCTGAATCTCTCTTGAAGAATAAAGTGACAGTGTAGAGATTTCCAATTATGAGGAGGTTGGCACAAGTGCCTCTAATGGTCAGTAGAACAGGACCCCATAACTGACTCCTCAACCCAACCCCACATCCACAAGTGCCTGTACTGCCTGTTCACCAAGTCTGATTCCCGAAGCAGTGAGAAACTGGGACTGGTGGTGACAACCATTCCTGTGAAAGACGTATTATACCTAAATCACCTATTTAGGCGATTTAGGTATAATAAGGGTTATACTTATTATACCTGGTTGAAGCAACAGAGATGGATATTTTAACTGAAGTATTAAAAGACAAAGAAATTGCTGAGGCTAGAAAAAAGTGGGAACCTTTGTGTAATGAGATGAGAGATGAGAACATGAATGGGTTAAAATTATGAGAAAGAAAATATAAGATATAATTTTAGATTTTGAAGACTTAGGAAAAAATGGTGAAATAAGTGTGAAGTAAGCTTAGTTAGAAAACATATCAACAAATGTAATAATATATACTGTTCCCTGTCATGTTCTGCATTTTTTATTTACCCCAATACCCTATCACGTTCTGTATTTTTTATTTACCCCGCTACCCTGATCTAAATCCCCTTACCTATGATCTTCCCTTACCCAATGAAAAATGGATTTAAAAAATAGGTGATGAAATTTCAATTTTCTGCCTATGATCTTCCCTCACGTTATGAAAAATGAATTTAAAAAAATAGGTGATGAAATTTCAATTTTCTAAAACTTTCCTATAACTCTAGGGTGTGGTAACAGTAAATAGTTGCAACTGTGAGTATAATTGCCCTTCTAAGTTTTAAAGTACAAAGTAAGGATGATTGTTGTCCCATTGTCTCAGTAAGATCATTTAAAAGCTGTTTTTGAAATGATCTTACTGAAACTGGACTGCTTGTTATGAGCAACCATTTTCAGAGCTGAAAGGATTATGTGCCAGATTTTATCCTAGCTTGGTCTCTTTTCCCCAGCCATGGAGGATAGAAATGAATGTGATCTTGGTTCCAGTTCAGACCAAAATAATATTGCAGAGTCTGGTAGCTGGAAGAAATGTTAACAGCTTTATTAAGCCGTTTCCTGACATGCCAGAGCAAAGTGCTGCACTAGCACTTTCATCCGAGGAGAAAGCAAGCCTATAGCATTCAGAGTTTGCACTGGGCTTTAAAATATGTGATTAAGGCTGGATAAAACCAGTAAATGCTTCTTTAGGTTAGTACAGTTGGTAAATCTAGACTTTTAGAGTAATGATTATGAAAACCTCAACTAGATGATTGTATCTCATCTTCTCCACTTTCCAACTATAGTATAAATTTATTTAGATGAATTTATTGTATTTCTCTTTTGGGGACCATGTGTCTAGGGCCCTGTTCTGCATGTTTTTCCTGACATGTGGGCTGGAAGCACATCTTGCCGTGGAAAGCAGCAAATTAGAGCCAGTTTCTCATGTCCTGAGGAAGAAAGTGATGCTATGGCAGTAGACAAGATTCAGACCTGAAAGGGCTGCCACAGCAGCCTGCCAAATAAGCTGTCAAATGTGTTCTGGTGTTTACATGGTAAATGTCAGTTAATTGATTACTTGGAATTTTGATGGAGGAGGAAACATTCAAATTCCTCAGTGAAATTATTGTGGGAGGAGGGAACTTTATCCTCTCTGCTCAGACTTGCAACCACTTCATTTGGTCGCTCCTACAGTTCACAAGGGTTTTGCAAATGCATCTTAACTTTTATTTGCCTTGATTACTTACCAGTGTGCTGCTCAAATATTCTGGTGTTTTCCAACCAGGCCTGCAAGTTCTCTGTATTCTGCCTCCCACTTACCCAGCTCTGCCAGTGTTCTTTCAGTGCTATTGAGTCACTGGTTTTCCATAAATTATAACCAGAATTACAATTGACTTTATACACTATGGGGAGTTTTCTGGGTTATCTTCTGTGCCCCTCCCATTCTGTTCAGCCATATAAATAGGTGGAACATAGTTGCTGTGGCATGAGAAAGGTTATTAGAAGTTTGGCTCATATTTACTGTAACTTTCAATAGCACATGGTTTTTTCACCTTATTTTTATTGCCTTTTTAATTAGTATTTACAAGGTTTTCCCTCATCTATTTGTCTTTGTACAACACGTAGAAAGCTATAGGCATTTTATAGGAGTATGACTAATTATAATAAATATGACCTAGTCAGTTGATTCAGTGATTGATTTGAATGTTTTGAACTGGGAGGACTGTGGCCCCTCTTTAAGGTGTTTGACTCTGTCATTGATTTGAAATCAAATATTGCAGAAACATAACAGTTATCAGTAGGATACCTTTCTTGTATTTTTTCAGTGATAAGAGTAGGACCCCTTATCTGCAAGATCAGTATTGCTGATTAACTTATCCATGGTCTGAAAACACTGTATTGTATTAAAAATGTTAAAAGAAATAAATCCTTTTTTTAAAAAAATAGCATATTTTACCAGAACTGGCCAGTACAAGGAGTCCCTGCCTACTATGAATTCTTGTTCTCTTCTGGTTTTTCTTCTTACCAGTGTGATTCCCAATACATCCCTTTGCGCAGCCATCTCCTTTCCCTGCCTGAGGGCAGCTCCCTTCCCTTTGTGCAGGCATCTCCCTTCACACCACGCCACGCAGGCAGCACCTTTCTCTTCCCTTCACACAGCCGCCTCCTTTCCCTTCACTCGGGCAACTCATCCTCCTCCCCAGGTTCGGCTTTTGGCCCACTCCCTGGAATCTTCAGTCACAGGCAGGTCGGCGGGATTCCTCCTTCTCTGCTGCTCATCTCATGAGAAAGCAGGGCTGGAAAGGGCAGCTCTTGCCCCTGGTGGCTTGGCCCTTTCACCTGCTGCCGCTGTGGGAGGTAGGTGGAGGAGTATGGGGCTGGCCTGGGCCACTTCTTGTTAGTGCAGCAACAAAGGGGGCATTCACTATAATCTGCATTTTTTAGGATCCGCTGAGACTTTGAACCAATCCCTCATGGATATGGGGGTTCTACTGTATTGTCATGTGCTAGCCTACCATGAATGTTAATAGACAATTCTGTTCTGCCATTCTGTGAGACTGCAATGAAATTACTTTTATTTATTCTAGATTCATCTAAGCTATTTTGTCGCAATAAGAGTAACACAGTCTTATGGGACCATTAAGACTAACCAGTTTTATATCAGCATAAGTGTTTGCAGATGTTGCCTATCTTAGCAGATTCATGGGAATTTTAAGAGGGAGTTCTCCCAGTAAGAGCAGCTTAACTTTCTATTAGGTGTTTTTTCAAAAACATTAATTATTCCTTTGTATAATTGTAAATAGATAGACCTCCCAATCAAGGAGATGTTGATCTTGCTCAATTTTTTTTCCTTCCATAATTCCATCTTACATTTCTGAAATATTTGTGTCTTAAGTTTCTTTTAAGCAGGTTCTTCAAATCACTGTAGTTTATGCTTTTTATAATTTCATTGGTGGAGTAATTGCTGAAAATGCAACATACCGTATTTTTCGCACCATAAGACGCACTTTTTTCCCACAAAACGGGGGTGGAAAGTCTGTGCGTCTTATGGAGCGAAGAAAACAGATTATATTTTCCTGTTTTCTTCTCCTAAAAAATTGGTGCGTCTTATGGAAAGGTGCATCTTATGGAGTGAAAAATACGGTAGATCAGAATATACTCATTGACACAAATAGCTACAAGAGCCAATGAAAGTAGGCTTAGTATTTTTAAATGAAATGGTTTCTGTTTTATTTTCTATCTTTAGAAACAAACATTCCAGCAAATGGGAGCCAAAAAGTTTACTGGAGAAGCTGCGTTGGGTCACTTTGGGTTACCATTATAATTGGAATTCAAAGGTATTCACAGGCAACAAAACCTCTTAGCAGTGTGTAATAGTAAGATAATATATTAGCAAATGTTTGCTGATTTTATTTTCGATGTAGTTAAGAAATTTGTGTAAAAGGCCACAGTATAGACTTTCTGACATAGACACCATAGATTAGTAAAGATTTTCAAAGTCAAATTATTCAAATCAGATTGCAGACCTGAATGAGAGGGAAGAAGCAGTGTCTATCAGTATACTGCAGACATGTTAACCAAATGAGCCCATAGCTTTCTCTGCTTATTGTCTGGCCTTATTAAGAAATCCATCTATTACCAGTCTTCTCTTCAGAAAAACTGAGTGAAGCAGGCTGAGGAACCTAATTCAGGGAAACTTGCCTGGAGGTATTTATGAGAAAGATTTCAAGCACAGTTAACATAATGAGGAGTCCTCCTGTAACTATGTAGAAACTGTTTATCATCCTCTGTGAAATATCATCTTAGTTTTGTTATTGAGTATCTAATTCTGCAAAATAATTATTTTAGCAAAATAGAAACAAAAAAACCACTCAACCTAACATGTTGGAAAGATCTAGATCCAGTATATATATCCTGTATAAATCTTATGAATGTTACACTTAGATAGGCAATAGAGGAAGTTGATTACTGCCCAGCTCCTCCAGCTTGAACAATTAGATACCAAGTTCCAGGATTTTCAGCCAGACATGGGCATAAAATTCACTTTAGGTGATCACTGGATGTCATGAGTTAGTTTTGTAAACTGAGAATTCCACTTACAGGTTTTCTTCCTTCAACAGAAATATTTACCTGATCACTACACTCCCTTTCCACCAGACCTGACTTTTCTCTCAAAGCAAGTGGCTAAAGCTTGTGGGTTTCCAGACTTCCGGGCTGAAGCAGGAATTTTGAACTACTATCACCTTGACTCATCTCTAGGGATACATGTAGATGAATCTGAGCTGGACCATACTCAACCCCTTTTATCATTCAGGTGAGCCACTGAAGGGATGTTTCCCTCTACCTTAATGTATCTCCTATCCTCCAGGCTTCGTGCCCTGGAGAGGACACTCACGTACAGCATCAAAACACTAGACACTGTTCCAAGTCCTCCATACAGAGCACGTTACCATAGTCTCTTGAGACTGAAGGATGCCGATGATGATGATGATGTAGAAGACCAGAATTCTTGCAGCAAATATGGTTTTTCAGATGTGAAGATCAGAATTGCAGGTGGCAGCAGACTAGAAGCCAGAATAGCAAAGTTGAGTTGCTGAACTATGTGAGAGCCAAAATAGCAGAGCCAGTATCCTGTTGGATTTTTGGTGTGTGGAACAGAAGTTGTGGGAACAGCTACAAAGTGCAATTCATGTTACAGGCACCTTGCCAAATAACCACAGGCACTTCCATAGCTTCCATTCTATGCACCAGAATTCCAGCAGGATACTGGCCCAGATATCCTTTCTGTTTATATTGTACTCTTTCTCCATGTACTATTGGACTCCTCTCCGCATCCCACTTTCCTCTCACCAGTCTGATGAAGTAGCTTAGGCTGAAAAATAGTACACCTCATCTACGACATCAAGTTGATTTTTGCTTGGTCACATACTTTGTACTTGATTTTTTTTTGTCTGGGTTTGTTATCTAAGTGGAGCAAAACCTCAAGGAGAGACTAGAGTTCAAAGCAGAAGAGTCCTCTTCCGGTGAACAAGGAAGAGGGACTTGTAGCACTTAAACATTATTTAACCTGTTATATGGGGAAGGTTATTTCTATTGCTGAGCTGATGTGGACAGGAAAGCTTGAAGGTCTTGTACTAGAACAATTACTGGAGAAACCATCACCCCCTTCCAGGTTTTTCATTTCAGATTGCAGCCTCTATGGCTGGGTTTTGGGGAAAAAATACACGGGGAGCGGGGGAAGCAACTGATAATCATGTATAGTTTGGGCCTGATAATAACAATGATGTTCCGACACAACTCTGTTAGACTATAGGATTTTTTTTGTGGCTATAGGATTTTTCAGGGCAGAGAGTGGTTAAGGGTTGAACAAGGTGAGTGTTGCTGCATGAACATTTATGTCATAACAACAAGAAGCACTATGATATGGCCTTGGGGTTTCATAGGCAATAATTTGCAGTTAACTTGTATGAAGCTTATTAAGAAAAGTAGAATTATTCTTCTCAATATTTGTACATATTACTAATTTCCTTCTCCGTTTTCTTTTCTCTTTTCAGTTTTGGGCAGTCATCCATTTTTTTGCTGGGGGGCCAGAAACGAGATGAAGCCCCTGTGGCCATGTTCATGCATAGTGGGGATGTGATGGTCATGTCTGGCTTCAGCCGTCTGCTGTACCATGCAGTCCCCAGGATTCTGCCCAACCCAGAGGGGAAGCCATTGCCTTCTTGTATGGAACTACCTCTCCCTGCTAACCTTCCAGCAGACTCTGTTATTCAGCCCTGCTCCCAAGAGGACTGGCAAGTGTGTGCCAGATACCTGCAAACATCCCGTATTAACATAACTATCAGGCAGGTGCTGGCTGAAAGTCAGAGCTTCCCAGCTGAAACTGAGACAAAAGAAGAACAGTCAGTTACTATAAGCTCTTATCAGGAAGAACACTGAAATAAAAATGTACAAGTAATATCAAGAGCTAATACCTGCACGCTACTTTTTCCTTCAACATGGAGTATGTTGCTTTCAATCCAGTTGAGTAAATCTATTCAGACATACGGACCACTGACAAATAGTGGAAGGGATATGTCACTGTGGTAATGGATCACCGATTCTGAAAATAAGTCCCAAACTGCATGAACTTTATAGTTAAAGTACTGAGTCCAATCAGGAGATTAAATGTTATTGTCTTCTAAGGTCTCTCCAAGGTCACGCCAATTTTGTGTCACTTTGATGTTGTTTTACTGCAATTGTCTGTCCTTAGTAACAAATCCACTAATCTCCATTATTCTCATTAGAAGCATCTAGTAGCCTATGTTTAGGTATTTGTGAGTTAACATGGATGAATATAAAATATATTCCCCTGTAGATATCTTGATACACATTTCTTTATGGTGTCAGAAAGGAGGCACCGGCTTTAAAGGCACAGCAGTTCCTTCTGTAGCCGAGGGCATGGTCTGAAGGCAGGTGATGCAGTAATCTTGCTGGAATTAAGCTGGTCTCAGTCTAGTCAATTGATTGCAGAGGAAGCCACCTGCAGACCACAGAGGAAATGTTACAAATAATAAACCACCTTTTAAATCAAAATGAGCCTCTAATGGCATTTTGTTTGCATCACTGTAATGTGACTTTCCTGAATGCTTCTTCCTGATGTATAGGGAGCTGCTATGTGCTTTGCAATATGTTTAGTTCCTTTCTGACTGATGCTTGTGAGTGTGGTGGTATTTTTATTTAAGACACCTTCCTCTCCTGGAGGAAAATAGTTAGGGATCATCTACTGATTTTTCTATTCAAGATGTCCTTTCCTTCCCCTTGCCTCTGAATACTAAAACCACCCTATTTCATCAGCATCAAGCCATTTGGCTGCCTGCATAATGCAGTCTTTGCAGCCTGCCTCCTCTAGGAGCAGATGGAAAAGAATGACTTTACAAACAAGAACAATGAAGTTGTAGATGAAGCACCCAGAACGAAAATTAATCAGCGACTATCTCTCTTGCCCAAAAGGTAAATATATTGAAACAAATAAGGACAACACAGTCTTCTATGCCCATCTGTTTTAGGATCCCAACTTCCCTATCTGGTTTTTTAATGCATTTTTAATTGCCAGAGTGCAGTGCTCTGTCCCAGGGGTGTTTTGTCGCACTTTTCCCATGAATAAGCTTACTCTGTTTTAAATTAAAGATCCATATCTGTCTTGAAGAGCTGTTTTCTCCCCCCATCCCCCCCCCCGTTAGTTCTGCGGTATTGTTCCCAGTGCTTTGAGCAAGTCTGTCACCTTTTCCTTCAGGCTTTATTTGGCTCTGCTGTTCCTGATATCCCCCAGCAAAATAAGGAGTGTGTACTGGCTTTTGCATGGATAAACTCTGAGAACATTCTGCCAAGATCTTCTGCACCCTTGTGATGTCAGTTAGATTTTCTCCAGAATTGATACCCTTTTTTTTCAAAAGTTAGGCATATTCTCAGTTCTCGGGGACTTCAACATTCACACGGAGGTGGAGGTTTTCGGCCCAGCTTATGAGTTCTTGGAAGCCATGACTTCCTTGGACTTGACCCAGCAAGTCAATGGTTCTACCCACATGGGCAGCCATATGCTGGATCTGGTCTTTGCTGCTGAGAGAGTGTGTTCCAATGGTGGCTGACTTGGTATCGGACCCCTTGTCATGGTTGGATCACCACCCAATTAAATGCAGTCTCTCAGTGGCACTTTCCTCCCACGGGGAGTGTGGACCCATTAAGATGGTTCGCCTGCACAGGTTGGCACTCCTATCAATGCTCTGGTGGATGGCTGGTACACCGTTGCTACTAGGGCGGTCGATACGATCGCACTTAAACGCCCTCTCCGCCGACAAGCCCGACCAGCTCCCTGGTTTAACCAGCAGCTGAGGGCCATGAAGCATAATCGGAGAAGGCTAGAGAACATTTGGAGAAGGGCCCCAACGGAAATTAATTTTTAAAACTACCAGGATCGCATCTAACCTTTACCTAGCTAGGGTAAAGGTTGCTAGAAGAGCATTCTTCGCTGACCAGATAAGCGAAGCTCACAACCAGCAGGCGGAACTTTTCCATATAGTACACGATCTATCCGGAGTTGGTCACAGTGAAAGACCTCCCTCCAGTATTTCTTGTGACCAATCTGCGGCATTTTTAAAATTTAAAGTAGAAGCCATCTGCTGGGCTCTTGATCCTTTTCTACAGACAGTAAATCAATACATCATCTTGCCCGGCGAGATGAACAGGCTTCCAACCTGTGACGTCCACTGAGGTGGACATGAGGTTGTGTGCTATTGTGCCACCACCTCCTCTTTAGACCCTTGTCCGGCCTGGTTCATCAAAGTAGCCAAGCCACTAACAACAGAATGGGCCACCGCAATAATTAATGGGTCTCTCCAGGAGGGTATGGTTCCCCTTGCCCTCAAGGAGACACTCAGGCCCATTAGAAAGAACCTGAATTTTGCAGCGAACGAAATTGGAAATTATAGGCTCATCGCCAATGCTTCTTGAGTAAAGTGGTTGGGAAATTATAGGCTCATCGCCAATGCTTCTTGAGTAAAGTGGTTGAAAAGGTGGTGGCCGATCAGCTCCAGGCCCTCCTGGAGGAAATTGATGCCCTTGATCTGTGCAAGTTGGGTTTCAGGACGTGGCATGGTACAGAAATAGCATTGGTCGCCCTGCAGGATGACCTCCTGAGGGAGGACAACAGGGGCAATATGTCCTTGTTTGTCCTTCTCGATAGCTCAGAGCCTTTGATACCATCGACCACGGTATCCTCCTGGGGTGGCTCTCCAAGTTGAGGATCAGTGGCTTCACTTTGGCGTGGCTCCGTTCCTTCTTGGAGGACCGTCCCCAGAGAGTGCAGCTTGGCGAGATGACTTTCACCCTGTGGACCCTCAATTGTGGGGTTCCACAGGAGTCGATCTTCTTGCCAATGCTATTTAATATTTACAGGAGGCCACTGGGCGATGTCATCTGGAGTTGTAAGGCCCGGTGTCATCAGTACACTGATGACACCGAGCTGTACCTCTCTTTTTTTCCCTATTGCAGTGGATGGGGGATGAACGCTGCTTGGGGACCATTCTGGAGTGGATGAGGGCAAATGGACCGAGGTTGAATCCGGCTAAGACGGAAATCTTGTGCATGGGCAGCACTGCGTCAATGGATTGGGAAATTCCCTCTCCTTTGGGGGAGTGACTCTTCCCACGAAGAGTGAGGTTCGCAGCTTGGGCATCTGCCTGGACCCGGATCTCACCATGGAAACCCAGGTGGCATCTGTGGTCCCAGCAGTGCTCTCTACTACTGCAGTGCTCTCTACATGGGGCTACCCTTGAGGCTGATGCAGAGACTGCTCCAGAATTTGGTGGCCAGATTAATAACTGGGGTGAAGATACTCCAACACATCTCCCCCAGGGCCACCATTCATTGGTTACTGGTTCGTTTCTGCATCAAATTCAAGGTTATGATGATAACATTCAAAGCCCTAAACAGTTTAGGACCTCGGTACCTATCAGAACATCTGCTCCCAGCCAGATCTGTCTGTAATACCCATTCTTCACAGGCAGGGCAGTTGAGGGCCTTGACCCCGAAGGAGGCCCAGAGGGAAAGAACAAGAAACCGGGCCTTCTCGGCATTCGCCCTTCACCTATGGAACAGCCTGCCTATTGAGATCTGCCTCGCACCCTCACTGGATGCGTTCAAAAGAGCATTAAAGACCTGCCTCTTCCTCCAGGCTTTCTTGGAGCATTAAGATCAGTCTCTCTTTTACCATCCTTCTTGCCATCCTCTCCATCACCCTTTTTACCACCTTCATTGCATTCTGTTTTAATTTACTCTATTTGGTTATATATAAATTTATTTTTTTATCGTGTTTTAATATTCTTGCTGATATTGTTGTTAGCTGCCCAGAGTGGCCTGATTGCCAGATATAAATTCAATAAATAATATTTTCTAGCTTTCATGGCCGGGATCCGACGGTTGTTGGTTTTCCGGGCTGTTTGGCCATGTTCTTAAGGTTTTTCTTCCTAACATTTCGCCAGTCTCTGTGCCCAGCATCTTCAGAGAACAGGAGTCAGAGCACAGACAGATCCCGGAAAACCCACAACAACCAAAATAATATTTTATTATTAGTTTTAATAGAAAAGGCCATGAAAATATTCAATATCAAATGATAAGTCTTCAACTAGTTCTCTACGACAAGACTGAGGATACAGTAATGAACTTGCCTCCGTGAAATCAAGGATTAGTTCAGATTTGGCCATCACTCCTAACCGAGGGCTACAGCTAATCATGGTTCCCTGACATATTTGACATTTTTTGTTTGAATATTTAGGCTACAGTCCTATATGTACTTACTAGATAATAAGCACCACTGACTTACTTTTGAGTAAACATACACAAGATTATACTGTTAAAAATGTCTTGTGTATCTACAAAAATGAAATGTATATTTCAGCATTCTCTCTGGTAAAGGCTGTGCCTCAGTGTACCTCTGCCAAAAGGCTAATACCAGGACATTGTGAGAAGTCAGTCAATGCCAAGACATTTTAAAATGGGTTATTTGTCACTTTCTTTGTCCTGATATTGGATTATCTCCAAGTCTTTTAGAGCAAACCTTTCTTTGTGGAACAGAACTTTCCCTCCCCTTCCTTCCTCTGAATTTTTTTTCTTGAGAGTCACCTCCATGGCCCTCCAAAGCAGATTTCAAGGGATGTTGGAAGATGCATAGAGGGAAGGAGAATTGCTCCCTGCCTGTTCTTTTGAGAGATACCTACCTTCAGTGGAGCAAGAATAATTGGATTTTATCCATTAATTTTCCATTTCTACCACTACCCCAGATATACTGTGATCATTTCTAATTTGATGCTGCTGAAATATAGCTTTGTGGGCAGATGAAGTAAGCAGAAGGTCCATGGTGAGAATAGTCTCTAAGCTTCTTGCCTTCATAGGAAGTGATGTAGGAATCTTGTCTATCAGTTGTGCTGA